ATTATGTAAAATTTGCAGAAATTGGAGATATTACCAAGAAGCAATCGAATGTAATTTGGATATTAAAAGGTTTAATGAAAGAAATGTTGAAGATGACATTTTGATATTTTTAACTGTGTATAAAATACCACCTTATGATTATGTTAGAGCATTTATGAAAATCAGTAAGAAAAAGTATGAAATGATTGACTACATATTATGGATGTTGGAGTATCGAAGAAAAGAAGGGTTTGATGTAAAAACAATCATTAAATCACATATTGAAAGTGAACAGTTTAATGTTAAAAATACAGTGAGAGATATTAATATTATATTTACAATGATGTATGAAAGAAGTAAAACATACCAATTAAATAGTTATCCTGAACTGAAATTATAATCATAATATAATAATAACATGTAAAGTATTATATGTTATAATTATATATCAATACTTAATTTTATTTCTTGTAAAAAAGTATTTAAAGAAACACACAGTATACATTATAATAGAAATGGAACTTAACAATTTACCATTAGAAATTAGATTGAATATTATGTCATATAACTGTTATGATATATGTCCTTACAGGTATAACGACATCATTAAACACCCTTTTCCAACTTGGGAAAAGGCAAAAAGAAATCCATTCTGGATAATGTCTTTGACTGAATATTTAGATGATAAAAAATCTGAATATGAAATATTCTTAGAATTAAAAACATTTTACGATTATTCTTACATATTTAATATTGAATATAAGTTTAAGAATCTATGGTTTATCAATAATATTGATGATATGAACATTAATGATAGAAAAATACTGACAAGTCAATATTATGACGCTATGAGAGCACTTTTATCAATGATGCCATTTAGAACAGAAGCAGAATGGCATATCCGGTTTTATCATATATTAGGCGCTGAAGACTTCTACAAAAGCGAAGAAGAAGTTAGCGATAATGAAAGTGTTGGTAGCTATTATTAATTTCATAACCATACAATAATAATAACATTTATACCCTTATATGTTATAATTCTAATGTAAGTATAGCGTTTTATATATTGAAGATAAAATCCTACAAGGAGCACCACGCGCAACTTCGGAAAATCCAAATGTTGAAAAATGATTAACTATTTGTTGTAAAATGTATTTAAAGAAATAATATGATTATATATCAAGGTGGTATGGACAAAAAACAGTGTTCTAAATGTAAATGCAATAAGCTTCTATTCTGTTTTCAAGATGATAACAGTGATAAAATATTTAAACCTGCATAAACTGCAGAGAGACCAGGCAAAGATATTATCAAAAATACAAGGAATATATAAATAGGAAAAGGCGAGAAGAAAGAGCGTGTAATGGAAATATTAAATGCGAGTGCGGACAAATAGTAAGACCTGAAAAATACGACGAGCGCTGCACGTGGAAATGGCATTGGATAGGCTTGAGGAATAAAATTGTGAAAGAATATGCCGATAAACTTGCTTTTGCTAAAAAGAAAGATTCTGTAATGTTGAAGAAGGAAAGGGGCAATAAAATAAGGGAGTTGCTAGAACAATCTGGATTAAATAGCTTTTGGTAAAATACCTTGATATATTCAAAAATAAGAATGAATATACTAAGGTATGCTGGTCGCGCTGGAATACCGTGTGCGGATTTTTGTTTTTTCGGGTGTTCTAACATTTTCCGAAGTTGCGCATGCCCAAATCTAACTGTAATAAGCCCAACTATGATCTTGTTTGCTTAATCCACCAGGCCGTCCACTTGTGGCCCCGGGCTGACAGGACCCTCATTCTAGTAAAGGTCAAAAGCCATGTTACTAAATTGAGATTGACCAGTCCGGGTACTTTGCACTTAGAAATGACAGGGCGGATTACTTTGCCAAACAAGCAGCCTCGTGCCTTGCCCCACACGACCTCAGAGATTGGCGCGCGTACCATGCCCATTTGCAGAAACACTTGGAGAAGTGGCCCCAGCTCCTGAGCGCCATCGCCAACACCTTGAGAGAGTACTGCGTTGCTTTGTCTTGCAAAGGACAAGGCGCACTCGTGCCTGTAGATAGCATGCCGCCGCCGGCGAGCAGTGAGGGAGAGTGTCATGCGGTGAATCCCTACTTTGCGTGGCCGCCAGATGACACGTGGAAGAGCATGACATCGTGGGGTGTCACCTTCACTAAGCAAGTGCTGCAATGGATCGGGGAACTCAAATGGCCCCTCGTCCCGGACGAGCGACCCATAACGTGGGCAGAACTCCTCATTTCATTTCGAATGCACTCAGGCATGCGGTTACCCGTTGCACACCCAAGAAACAGACACATCTACTTGACACCTGGCATCCATCGGACACACGCACAGGGTTTGCGCACCCTGGGCACTGACATTTGGAGCTTGAAAAACGCTTTGAGCACCATTGCGTCCATTGTCGATCAGGACTTGTTGCCGTGGAATCGTGCGGAGAAGCAATGCAACACTGCATTGGTACTCGGCGCCAAGGTAAAGGCATCAGGTTTTGGACTCCGACCCAATTTCCCGTGTCAGGCAAGTGTAATAACTTTCTTGCAGCAATACTTTGCAACCCAACGAGGTAGACCCGGGACTAGTGTGTCATATGATCTCCCTTTAAAAACTCTGGACGTGGGCCCCCTCGATCACGGAGGGGAGCAATACTTGATGCAATCTCGGGCACGCTTTCGAAAATATTTGCAAAGCACTTGACGCTTCGGACAGGCTGACAACACCCCTTCAGTGATAGCACCTCGCTCCGGCGACTCTACAACACGTGTGGTGCATCTCTTGATGCACACAGCTTGGCAGGTGCCTTTCTTGGTGTAGTTTCGTCTCACCGTTTCACACCCTCCATGTCTCACTTTTGCAGCAGCTCACACAACGACCCAGGATCGCAGCCCACGCCGGGCCTGCTTTCTCCATGCATTTACACCTTGATACCAGGACACTCGTTTATGCGTGTGACCCCGCCCTTTTCATGGGCGGGGCATCTACTCTCGGCTTCAACTCGTGACCACACTTGACAGGCCTGCGGGCCACGTGCAATCCCCCTTTTTCCCCTCCCCCCCCCCTTTTTTGTACAGTCAGGCAGATGCAACAGACACTGCCTATGCCAAGACCAAAACTGGACACGTCCGCCAAAGGCAGTTGCGTTCGCTCTCGGGCTGGTGTAGCGGTTTGAACCGTGTGTGTATCGTGGGGAAGAGCTTGATCTTCCCCATTCGTCCTTTTGCTTCCCAAATTCGAAGACGGGAAGCCGGGCAGAGAAACTAAAGGCCGACCGCATGCATCTGAAGTATATGGGTAGCAAGTCGTGGCTGGCTCCGCGCCTGGACCTGCTGCTGGGCGACATTTTGGTGCTGCACTCGCCCTTCTTCGGTTCCGGAAAGCTGGAGTACTACCTCGCCCGGAGGCGTTTGGGCCTGGAGGTGCGTGGCCAAGTGTAAAAGTTGTCTTCGTGCGTGTTTCCAAATGTTGTGTCTCAGAACAAGTGTAAAAGTTGTCTTCGTGCGTGTTTCCATGCAACATTGAACGTGGGGGGTGGAGGGGGCGCGGTGGCGCGTGTTCCAACACGCGTGGGTCTCGCAATTTCTAGTGAAGGGAGAACGTTCAATCTTCTGTGGCAACCTCTGTTTTGCCGGGGCAAGATTTGGGTCTGCAACTAACTGCAAAAACGTCGCCGCTGCAGCAGGGGCCTCCGCGGCAGTGAGCAGGCCTTCCTCACAGTAAGGGCGGTACCCGCGGTACGCTCTTACGGATCACGCCTCCGTCCGCTAATTCAGACGTGGGCACGCCACATGCCAGGACACGCAGCCTGGCGCTTTTAATCCGTTTCACGGGGGTGAACGTGCCCCCTGCTCTAGGTGCACCGCGTGCCCTAGAAGTGTACTTTCCACCCACCCGGTAAAAAAGGAATGCGCGCTCTTCTCGCTTTGTGGGTTCCCTTTTGTAAGGGTTGTTTGGGTTCAAGCTAGGAGCAGTGCAACAGGCTTGACAGGTTGCAGGTTGCTGCCGTCAGCCTGCAGCAGCACAGGGCGCATTTTGTTGTTTGCCTTGATCGGCGTGGTCGAGGTGCAAAAGTTGAGAATTTGGCGATTCTTTCCGTGCGCGCGATTGGCGTGGTCAAGAAAAACTGAAGGTGTTGCGATTTGCCCACGCTCGCAAAAACTTGAGACTGTTTTTTAGCTGCTAGAGCGACTCTTTGCGATTGTATGTCGAATCGCTCTCGCAATGGTCCCCGTGCAAATCTTCGCGATTTGCGCGCGGCCTCTTGTGCAAAGATTGTGCGTGTCAGATCGCTTTCGCCGTGGTGCCATTTCAATTTTGGTGTGCGACCGTCTCACGGATCAACCTGCAAAGTTGCAACTTTTTTGTACACAAGTAGTGTGCAAAATGCGCTTCTGCTGCTCCGGCAAAGTTGCAACTTTTAGATACATCGGCTGCAAAGTCGCAACTTGAAGTACAGGGGTGTCACGCGGAGTACGTCCCCACAGCTCCGGCTGCAAAGTCGAAGTGGTAGCGACATGCATAGAGGCATGCAGCCGAATCTATAAGATCTCGCATCCTTTGCGAGGACAGCGCGTATCTGCTTGGCAAGCACAAATGTTCCATACAATTACAAGGCTGTTCCGTGGTGCTGGCTCGGATGCATCACTTTTTGTTTGAACGTGAAAACCAAGCTGGTCTGATGTCTCCGTAAGAGCGACGGCAAGATTTCTGATAAAGCCGCGTGGTTTCAATTGTGCATGCAAAATGTGTAAATCTGATTGATGTAATTTGTCATGTAGCATCCTTCGGCACGAGGTGTAGCTGCATGATGAAGGTCTCTTTAGAATATTTTTTGTTTCCGGTTTAACTGTTTATTTAGATGGACTTTGGTTTCAGTTTGGCTCTAATCAACGTGCTTGCTCAGATCTTGCTGTTTTTTGCGAATGGAATTATGAGCCAAAGCGGTTTCCTTCGGACTCACCTAAAGACCGGTGAATGGTGAATCTGAGTCTTGGAACTCCGCAGCTCCGCTTTTGACCGCGACGCCGCGAGGGATTTTTCGACTCGACCGCCATGGAGTCGGTGGAGGCGCCGCGGCAGGCGGCGCCCATGAAGCTGAATCTGGGGCAGGAGGCCGAGCCCATGGTGCTTTGCTTTTGAACAGACCGTGGGTTTTCCCATTGTTTTTCCCCTTTTTACAGTGAGACCGTGAGACCGTTGGTTTTCCCTTGTTTGCCTTTGGTTCAGATTTCCCCTGTTCCCCCTGAAAAACGGGACGGGGAAGGGACCCTCCAAACAAGTTGCGAACTCCGGAGATGTTTTCTTCAATGGCTCAAAACATCCCCCACTTCAGCGCCCAATTCTCATTGGCCATTATGGCAGACTACCACCTGGTTTTGGGGGGCTATGGGGAGCAATTGTAGCCATCTTCGTACCTATGGTACCAAACATCAATAAGTTTTGGGTGTTGCTCAATTTGTCATTCGTGTTTGATAGGCGTAAGAAACTGTGGCCCGTGCCCAGCTCAAGAGTAGCCCTTGCCATCACCCTCGGAGTGCCTGCTGGCAACCCAAAGAGTGCCATCTTCTCTGACCCTCCTCTTTCTTTTGGGGCCTTCCCTGTTTTGGATTGGTGCGGCTTTTTCCTTTTCAAAAGAGATCGCCCTGAAGCTGGCGTTTTGGAACTCTTGGAGTTTCAACTGTTCCTCCCGTGTGGTGCAGGTGACTCCGGCCCTTCTGGGGGATCAGCTGACTGGGCTGATGGCCAAACAGCACGAGCAGGCGGCACGCGGTAACCGCTCCGCCCACCTGAGACCAGAAAAGGGGCGCATGTTTGAAAAGACCAATGTGGGCGAACCATTGAATGGTTTCTAAAAAGGACTTGACAAGGGGCAACTCCTTTTGGCATCGTTCCATGGAGAAAGAGCTTGACAAGCGACGATCCTCTTTTCACATCCTCAACCGCGCCGGTTCTTTGCAGCGTGTTGGCTGTTTCCGGCTTTGCGTTGGCTGTTGCCCCTCTCGAGTGAGCTGTCGCCAACACTTACTTTCCGCGGGGCGTCGTTCAAAGGGCATACCTTGCCTTCCGCCCTCGCTTTCCGTCCACCTCGGACGGGCGAAAAGGGGCCCAGTTTAAATCGCCAATTGACAGCTTCAAGCGTTTCTGAACTGGTTTCCTGGAGGTCTTAGAGCGTCTCCAGCTGCACGAGACTTTGCTGCGGGAGGCGCTCTCACCCCGCGGCCTGCGCCTGGGGAGCCTTAAGTCGCCGTACGGCACCAGCGAGGTGGGGCGAACTGGGAAATAGCTGGTTTGAACTGGGATACGGGGAGCCCTATAAGCAGGTGAACCACTCGTGTTTTCCTTCTAGAACCAGCCCAAAAAGGGAACCCTCAAAGGTGCACTACGTGGGTACAACCTGTCATGGGAAGCGGGGTTGGAAACGGGGGAAAAGCAGGGTTGGACCAGGTTCGTTTTGCGATGGTTTAGCTGTTTGGTTGGTTGATTGGTGTCGTTCTCCCTTGTGTGTGTGTGTGTGTGTCTGTGTGTGTCTGTGTGTGTGTGTGTGTCTGTGTATCTGTGTGTCTGTGTGTCTGTGTGTCTGTGTGTCTGTGTGTCTGTGTCTGTCTGTGTGTCTGTGTGTCTGTGTGTCTGTGTGTCTGTGTGTCTGTGTGGTGTGTTGTTTGTTGTTTGTTGTGGTTGTTGTGGTTGTTGTTGTTGTGGTTTTGTGGTTTGTTGTGGTTTGTGTTGTTGTGGGCTTTGTTGTTGTGGTGTTGTTGTTGTGTTGTTGTTGTTGTTGTTGTTGTTGTTGTTGTTGTTGTTGTTGTTGTTGTTGTTGTTTGTTGTTTGTTTGTTGTTGTGTGTTGTTGTGGTGTCGTCGTGTCGTGGTCCGTCGTGTGTTGTCGTCGTCGTCGTCGTCGTCGTCGTCGTCGTCGTCGTCGTCGTCGTCGTCGTCGTCGTCGTCGTGTTGTTTGTGGTTGTTGTTGTTGTTGTTGTTGTTGTTGTTTGTTGTTGTTGTTGTTGTTGTTGTTGTTGTTGTTGTTGTTGTTGTTGTTGTTGTTGTTGTTGTTGTTGTTGTTGTTGTTGTTGTTGTTGTTGTGTCTTGGTTTGGTTGGCATGGTCATGTTCCTTTTCTTTGTTTGTTTGTTTGTTTGTTTGGTTTGTCTGTTTGTTTGCTTGCTTGCGTGCTCTTGCTTGTTTGTTTTGCTAGCTATGTTTGTTTGTTTGTTTGTTTGTTTGTTTGTTTGTTTGTTTGTTTGTTTGTTTGTTTGTTTGTTTGTTTGTTTGTTTGGTTTGTCTGTTTGTTTGTTTGCTTGCTTGCGTGCTCTTGCTTGTTTGTTTTGCTAGCTTTGTTTGTTTGTTTGTTGTTTGTCTGTGTTTGTCTGTGTTTGTCCGTGTTTGTCTATCTTTGTCTGTCTTTTTATGCCTTTGTCTTTCTTTGTTTGTCTTTGTCTGTCTTTGTCTGTCTTTGTCTGTCTTTGTCTGTCTTTGTCTGTCTTTGTCTGTCTGTGTCTGTCTTTGTCTGTCTGTATGCTTGTTCTTTCTTTTTGGAATGTGTTTTGTTGGGTTGCTTGCTTGCCTGCCTGCCTGCCTGCTTGCCTGCCTGCCTGCTTGCTTGCTTGTTTTGCTAGTTTTGGTGGTTTGTTCGCTTGTTTGTTTGTTTGTTTGTTTGTTTGTTTGTTTGTTTGTTTGTTCGCTTCCTTGTTTGCTTTTTCGGCATGGCGACAGCCGGGCCTTTTTTTCCCGGAGGTCATCAACAAGCAGAGCTCAGTTAAATCGGCGATCTTTAAGACCTTCGACCAGTGCGAGTTGGAGAAGCAGGAGGGTGCAGCAGACGTCCAAAGGCGGAAGATCAAAGAGTCCTTTGAGTATCAGGAGGTTGTGCTATCCGAAGCCAAGGTTCCACCCTGCGCGGAGCGGATTGTAAATCATGCTGCTTTCGACGCGTTCTTCGCGCTGGTGGTGTTGACCAACTCCTTTTTCATAGGAATCGATATCGAAATGAGCTTGGCCAATGGTGGGGAGCGGCCAACGAGCATTCGAGTGGTGCAGCATCTCTACACGCTTTTGTTTTCGGTGGAGCTGGCTATGCGGCTTTGCGCGCGGGGCTGGAAGCTGTTTACGGGCGATGATTGTTTCTGGGCCTGGCTGGACCTCTTTATTGTGACTACGTCTATATGGGAGGCAAGCAAGGAACCCAACTATAAGGGCACTTCCACCTTTCAGAATCCTCTTTCAAGGGGCCCAATTCACTCTAGGGGCAAACCCCAACCTGACGGGAGGTTTTGGTCGACTTGATCCACTTGGTCGTTCCGGACTCGGATGTTGGTGGCCTGGTCGGGATGTCGACTCTCAAAGCCTTTCGCATCGTCCGCATCACACGGATTGTGAAGGCGGTGCGCATGATCCGAGTCTTCCGTTTTTTGGCCGTATCATACGGGTTAAGATGAGACACCAATTGTGCACCTCTCCTTGCCACAGTTCGCGTCTCCCTTCCCGCACAATCTTGCACAGCTCTTTGGATTATGCCGTGCCTGATGTAAAGCCGGTCATTTCTTAGGCAAGCCAGCTTAGATGGCTGTTTATGGAATTGTGGACCTATGCGTCGGACCCGAGGTTTCGTGATAGCCTTCCGAACCTTGATCACCTCGATCGTCCACACCTTCAAATCCCTGGCTTGGGCGCTGATGCTGCTGCTGCTCATCGTTTACGTATCTTTGTCAGACTTAAAGAACCTTTTTGCCCTCTTGCCCGGGTTTCCATCCTGTTCCCTTGTCGGCAGCCAGAATTCGACCCTTTCCAACTTTGGCCTAAGGTCTTTGCGGTGCTGTTTACCCAAGCGGCCCCTGGGCAGTTCAGAGGCCTTGGCGCATCTGAGAGGTTTGTGAATGTTTCTCACCCTTCAGACCTCAGCTGAGAATGGCTGAGGTGCAAGGACTTGAGACTTGGTTTTCGAAGTGACACGTTCTATGTGTGAAAGGGGGACACCCATTCTGGGCGGCTGTCTCAAAAAGGGCACCTTCCAACAAAAAACAACACCCCCTCCCCTGTTTCAGGCCAGGTCTTCCAGCATCTTGTGTTCACATGGATTTTCAAGATGCAATCAGAGGACGCGCCAACAATTTCAGTCCGAAAGGTCACGCAGGCTCGTTTTTGGGTTTTTCTGCCCAGGTCAATGACCATTTGCGGCACCACACACTATCTGACCCAGATCTTCAGGCTGCTGAGAGGCCTGGAAATGGGCACTTGACTTCTTTGCGAGTCCCTGGTTGGTGTTTCTGGTGCGAAGGATTTTTTCATTGAGTCTGGGTGGCTTTGGTGGTATTGGTTAGATTCAGAGGTCAGTCGGTGTTATTTTTCACATACCGTGGTGGAGCCCTTTTGTTGAATTCTGGCTCAGGTGATGCTTGGGAGTCTTCTGTGTTGAGGGTAGTTCAGGGTTGGTCAGCGCGCTAAACACAAGCTGAGGGCGCCTTTGGTCAATGTGTAGGTTGGGTGCATGCCTGGATGCAGGTTTCTCACGAAGAATAAGTTCGGTTATAGGCTTCAGGAAGTTCCTCCTTGACCCAAAGGCGATCTCAGGCAAACAAGAAGTGCGATCCTTGCCCAAAGCCTTATACACAGCAGAGCCGCTCGGAAGAAAAAAGGTTCAGCATAGAAACAAAAGGAATCCATTTTGGCGGGTCCAAATCCCTATTTTGAGACATACCGAGATTGCGGGAAGTTTGCTCGCGCTGAGATTCTTCAGCTCCCTGCCGGAGACGATGCTCAGCCTTTTCATGTGCGTTGCGAATGGGGTCAGCTGGGTGGAAGTGATCCGGCCGTTGAAGGCGCGAAAGCTTGGTGTGGGCTTTGCTGGGAACCCCGAAGCATAAAGCGCGGGACCACATGAAAAGCAACGCCGAGGAAGAAGCAGAGAGCCGCACTTGGCCAGCATGGTGACGTTTGTTTGATGGAACATTTGGCGTTCATGCTGCTAGAGTCGGCGCGTTTTCTTTCCATGCATCGTTCCATGTCTCTGCTGGCAGGGCTTTCTTGATTTGCAGCATGGCAGCTGGTGCGAATTTGTAAAGTTGGCATAGTTTAAAGGGCAAGTGGCAGATTGCTTGTGCATTTGTGCCCTCTTGTGCCCTCTGTTTTGACGTCTTCGCTTTTGTCTTGCGGCGGCATCCAGGACCAATCAGCAACCCGAGTTTCCTGGCATCGAAAGTGGTTTGCATGGCTTTCACAGCATGACACTTTCTGGCCCTTGCAAACCTCCGCAGAGGCCCGCTGCCACTTTGTGAAAGTGCTTCGGTTGGCAGTCTGTGGTATTGTGCAAAAAAGAACAACGCTCTCTTGTTTGTTCTGAGACGCCCAGCATGTTGGCAGCCGTTGATAGAGTTCGCTTTTCTGGTCTTGCGGCAAGGGCTGCATCGTGTTGGTGTGATCGGCTTGATTGTCCGCTCATGCTGGTCTGTGAAAACATAGGGGTACCCCAAGGATTTGGCCGCACTTTTCTTGACTTTCCTTTAAACCAAGCCCTCAAACAAATACAAACAAACCCATGTCAACCAAGCTACCCAGGTCAGAGCTACATTCTGCGCCCCACCTGAATAGGCTTCCATCTCAAGGTCTAAGCACTTTTTGTTGATCGCCTGCTTGGACCGAGCTTCAGGAGGCTTAGAGATTTCGAAATCATGCCTTCGTTTCTGACCCTTGCTTTGTACACCCACAGGCCAACTCCAGCCAGTGCTTAGCCTGGCGTGTTTTCGCTTGGCAAAATGTCGATTTGCTGTTTTGCATTCTGACTTGAATTTTTGCCTTCGCCAATCCAGTAATCCAGCTGCTGGACACTGCTTCATATGGCCTCCCTAAGCCTTTGTTTGACCGTTTGGGCCTCTGTGCCGGTGGGGTTAGGTTCCGGAGTAATAGCGGTCTTCCTCAGGACACCAACACTTGTAGATAGGACTAGAACAAGTTGGTCCCTTTTACAAACAGAAACTGAAACATAATTTTTCGCGAGGTACCTGCCGGAGAATCCGACTGTTCAACGAAAAGAGAGCTCGTCTCTTAGGGAAATTTTCTGGGACACCAGATAATCCTGTTTGTCAAACATTGAGCTTGACACGGTCCACAGAGTACAGTACAATAGCAAGATATGCAGTCGACCTCGGCAGAATTGGTTGCCGGAAGAAGTACGCTTCTAGTGGATCTAGATAGAATGTGCGCACATGCTACAGCCATGAACAGAGTGCTAAGACGCTTGGCTACGCCAACACCTTACCTCATCCTTTGACAGTCGTCGAAACATGGCCACATCCGAAGGAAAATGATACATGGCCCTGCTTTAGATTTCGCTTGAGCCTCAGGCCTTGTTTTCCAGTGCTTGTTGCGCAGGCGGTGTCTACGGTTTGGGTCTTCCTGTTCATTTTCTACATTTCGTGCCTCGGTGGTTTCCAGCTATACTCTCATTTTTGTTTTGCAAGGGATCAGCGAGCGACCAAGGTTCACGTATTTTGCGGTGCTTAATGTAGTGACTGGGCAGCAACGCAAGGCTTTGTACTTGGCCCGTCATGCTGGTTGGTAACGTTGTTTGCATGTCACTCAGGAGTGCCAGGCCTTCTAGGATCAAACTGCTGGTTTGCAACATGTTTTTTGCAAGCTTGCTCGACGTCGGGCATGTGTTTGCTTAGACACGTTGTTGCCCAGCAGTGTGGTTGAGCTGCCGGCGCTATATATATATTTCCCGTGCATCGATTTCCCGTTCGCTCCAGCGTTCGCTGCAGGTTACGGGTGTTTTTTGTCAAGCAGCCATGGAGGGTGCCAAGTCTGACCATCAGACTGTGATGCACGCGATCTTGGCTGACAAACAGACACCTGGCATCCACAATTGTAGCATCAGTGAATCGCATTCACGCATTGATTGGGTTGGTTCGGTCTTCTGGCAGGTTCTTTCTTTTAATGTTGTGTTGTTAATCACTGAGCCCAATTGGCAGCGTTCTTTGGTTCTCGGCCTGTCATGTTCAATCTCTGCATGTGATTCTTTGTGGATGTTCTAGATGTAGTAGCCGAGTTTGATTCTGCCGCAGCCCATTTCCACGCTCAAACCATATGGTGGCATGGTTTTCTGTCTCTGTTCACTTGCACAGCCGCACCCACCCCAAAGGCTTGCTGCGTTTTAACGGCAGGTTTCAGTGAAAGCTTCTGCTCTGCTCGGGATCTGGCCGAAGCACTCTTGAAAAGTACAGCGGACTGAGTCCCTGGGCTACATTGCCACCTTGCGATTGGCAATTTCGTTAAAGCAGACATTAGCATTCCAACGACAAAAGTCCAAACACATTCACAGAACCGGCCAGCGACCCGAACGGTAAGTAACCTTGTGGAAGGCAACACATGGATCTCTACCTGCTAAGGCGGGAATTGTGGGGGAATTGTCAGTCTGCCTTTGGACTGTCAGTTTTCCAAACCAGCCCCTTTAATTGAGCCTCAAAAACAGCGTGTTCACAGCTTGTCCAACGCCTGTCATTTTCCTGGCGCGGGCCAAGGAAACACCTCGCAAAGATCCGGGCGCTCTTCAACGAGATTGGTAAACACCAGGCGTGGACTTCTCTAGGTGCTGTTTGGGACACCGCTTTGGAGTGTGTTCGAAGGGAGCTGGAGGGAACCAAACATTGCCCATCCAACCCCCCCACCCCCCCACCCCCAGCCGTTGCCTTGAACATGGCCTATTGACATTGGATCATGCCCATTGGCATTATGATCCCCATTCCCTGATCCATTACGGTGCCCTTCGCTCTCCACATTATGTCTAACCGTTTCCTTGGCAAAATCACAAGAAAAGCGGGTGGTCCCAACGCACAACAGTGTTGTGAGCTTTTGAGTCGTAGCTGCAAGAGTCTCTATGTAAGTCTCTTTGCGCAAGATCTCCGCGCAAGTTTCTCTGCGCAAGATCTCCATCTGAGCCTCTCTGCGCAAGTTCTCTGTGCAAGTTTCTCTGCGCAAGCTGCGTGCACAAGTTTCACTTTGCTCGTGCAATTTGCTGCACATGTTCTGGCTGCGCACTTTTCCTCGTGCTTCTTGCTCGTCATACGCATTGTGCTACTTGCTCTGCATGTGGTTTCGTGCTACTTTCTCTCCATGTTCTCTTGTGTCTGCATGTGCTCTCATGCTACCTGCTTTGCATGTGCTCTCGTGCTTGTTGCCCTGCGTGTGCTCTCGTCTATCTTGCTCTGTTGTGCATCTAGCTCGGCATGTACTCTCGTGCTACTTACTCTGCGCGCGAGCGAGTGCGCAACTTGCCCAGCATATTTGATCTCGTATATCTTGCTCTGCTTGTGCTGTGTGCTATTTGGCTACGCAGTAAGGCTGGCGTTATTACCGGAAGAACCCTTTGCAATGCTTTCACGAACAGTCTAGTACGACCAGGAGCCTAACTTCCAGTTAGGAGCAACACGTACATAGTATGGGATGGACACACGTGCTATAGATTGCATCTGGACAAACAGGAGTGCTTTTGGTGCGGCCGATGTCGTTTGCCACAGGAGTGCCTGCAACGCACCAGTCTGGCCTCAACCCAAATTCACTCAGAGTTCATGAGGATAGATTTGGGAACCAGATTTTGGCCAGCATTCAGATGGTTGGAACAAGAACAATGGTCCCGAATTCGATTGACGTGCGATCCTCAGCACAAATCCACTGCAATGACGGCCAACCCTAACAAAGATTTGAGGAGCACAACTTGACTAAGGGCTGGCTGCATTCTTGTCAATCTCGAATTTGGTTTTGTATTTCAATTTCAATGCATAATGCTCTAACATTGATCTCGATTCTTGACAATATTTCACCTCTTGCGCCTTGTTGCTGACATTGGTCGAAGATGCAAGCCCCTTCTTGCAGTTGTCACTTGAACACAGCGACCAACCGACTCACCGCATCACGAGCGATCCATCTTCCGCCAAGTCCTACAAACCAAACAAATCCGAAAGACCTGCTCCAAGGGCATGTGTGGTTCTGTGATATGTGTCATATTCGTTTAGCGATATGGGTGCCTTCAAGTAGGGGACTCCCAAGATGGGGGGGTTCTCTGCAGTCACTCTTTAAAAACACCCAAAAAAGGGTGCCACTCCTCAACAAGAAGACGCACCCTCCAGTCTTTTGGTCTTCGTTTGGTTTGCCCAGGACTTTCCAATTCGCTTCCCACACCCATCCTACGACTCCGAATTCTGGGTGGAATCAGGATGGGTACATCACCTACGCCATGCTCGAGGAGAAGGTGAACTCCCCTGAGGTTGGCGAAGCGAAACAACTCGGAGCAGAATTGTCATATTTTAGGGGTATGCCAAGTATGGCCCAGAATCTGAGGGCATTGTGTTTTTTGCACCCCAATTGGGTTCCCGCTCTTTTGGGATGCCCAACAGAGACCCCCTCCAAAACAATGGTAAAGCACCATGTTCAATGATGTTTCAACCAGTTGTTTCGAGCCCAGAGTCTCAAAGGTTTCAAGCCGAAGTTCAACACCTGCGAGATAACATGGGTTACACAAAAATGGGGTCCAATCCCCAAGAAGAGTCTCCTTTTTTTGGTGTCCGGGGTTCCTTCTGTTCTGAGTCAAAGCGCTCAGGTTCGCGACTACTTCGGGTCTCTGGGCCTGGACATTTGGGACGCGCCCCTCGGTTGACTTGGCCGTTTTCTGCACAGGACCCTTGGGAATGATGGTCATGGCAGTCTGGCCAATCCGGGGGGAAAAGCACACTCACCACAACTGCCCCTCTTTGAGAATCCCATTAATTTGACTTATTCAGGTTTGGGAATTCAAGAGCTTGCAGCATTGCAGGTGTCATTTCAGGAGTCTCTTCAGTGGCTTCCACCATTTTGCCAGTTCGCCAATCAATCTAGGGGCCTACTGACTGGCTGAGGGACCTTCAAGGGCTTGTCTCACCCAAATCGGGCGGGGCCAGCTGTTTTGAGAGACGCTATGGCCAGGTGGTCCTTCTTCAAGCTCTTGGACCTCGATGAGGGCGGCTCCGTGGAGATCGAGGAATCCCCCGTTTGCGGGAATCCCGGGAACTCCATGCCTTTGATACAAATTCCTATGAATCTCAGGGATTTCATGGAAAGTCTCTGTGAATCTCAGGTGTTTCGACAGTCCCCATCAATCCCCCCCCCCAAAACAAGGAGAGCCGGGGAACCCAAAAACCAAGATGCGAACAACTATTTGTGAATGACTGTCAGCGAACTGCTTGCCCAAGCAGTTTGCAGGCAGGAGCTCGTGGGCGACACAGGCAGACCGACAATGCTGCTATTGCTGCTGCGGGAAGGTTCTCACGGTTTCTCTCATAGCTCTACTTCCATCCCTTTCCATTGAGCTTGAATCGCTGCGCACGAGGGAAGAGCAAACTAACAAGAAAGCAAGCTTAGCAAACACGTCGTCAAGCTGTGCACTAAACTAGACCAGGGCTTGATGGGCTTGTTGTAAGGGAACCAACATTCTGGCTTGCTCCTTCTTATTTGCTTGCAATGTTTTTGGACTATAAGGTTGTTCAGAGGGGACGGCGGCCTGCTCGCGCCGCGCGCGCGCGCGCCTTTCCTTGTGATGTTGAGCACATCGAAAGGCGCGCGCGGCGCGCAGGGGCTTGCCCGATCTCAGTTGTCTGATAACCAAGCGATTGCAGCCCCAGTGGCTTGCTGAAAAGTATCGTCAGTCTGCACAAAGGTGACCAACTCTTTGATGACGCCAGGAATTCCAGAGTCCTCAAACAGCACCTTCGCAGCTGCCTCATCCACCTCGATGGTTTGATATTCCGGGTTGTGCGCAGTGAGAAAAAGCGCCGCTGCCAAGCATTGCTCCGCTTCGACTTCCAGTTTTGGAAACGCCGCTGTGGACCAAATCCCACGGGCACGACCGGCGCACGGATGACCCTAGCTTGTTCTCGCAGCTTTCCTGGAACCAAATCCCGCCGGCAGTTGGAGGACCGCGCCTCGTTATCGCCGCGCCTCTGCGGACCAAATCCCACCGACGCGCGGCCTCCAGCAATTTTCGTCATCTCGGCGCTGGTTGCACTCGCAGAAGCAAATCCCACCGGCGCACGCCGCCGTCACCTCCATCCTTGTCGCCTCCGCCAGGGCAAATCCCACCAGCGCACGGATAAATCCCACCGGCCAGCACCTCCCGTCACCTCCCGTCACCTCAGCGCTGGTTGCAAATCCCACCAGCGCACGCCGCCGTCACCTCCATCCTTGTCGCCTCCCCGCCTCCGCCAATCCTACCGGCGCACGGAGCTTTCCTGGAGCCAAATCCCACCGGCGCACGAGCGACCGCGCCTCGGTATCGCCCAAATCCGACCGGCGCGCGGCCTCCAGCACCTCCCGTCACCTCGGCGCTGGTTGCATCCGCAGAAGCAAATCCCTCCAGCCAAATCCCACCGGCGTACGGCTGACCCCAGCTCGTTCACACTGCTTTCCTGGAGCCAAATCCCACCGGCGCACGGATGACCGCGCCTCGTTATCGCTGCGCCTCTGTGGACCAAACCCCATCGGAGCGCGGCCTCCAGCACCTCCCGTCACCTCGGCGCTGGTTGCAATTCAGCCGGTGCAGTCACCGACAGTCAAGGTCGTTTTGGCTATGCGGTAAGCTCGGCAAAAACTCGGCACACTTGAGACCGGTCACGTTCTTGGCGGCGCTTGCACGGTATGCTGCAAACTTGGCCCTGCGGTATGCGGTAGGCAGACTAAAGACCGGTCTCGTTCTTGCCGGCAATTCAGCCGGCAGGCCACCGTTTCCCGGCCAGTGGCGTTTACACGGCATGCTGCAAAGATGGTACACTTCAGGCTGAACACCTGCCGATCCTCGCTCCCTCGCGGTTAGACAACTAAACGAGAACCCAACCCTAGAGCTAGAGGCTTTTTTTGTGGAAAACACACACACTTTTGGGGGAGTTTGAAAAGGCCAATCCGGAAACATGTCAGGAGTTCCTCATGGGCTGCTTGAGACTCCGCGGCAGCGCCACGGCGATGGACGTGCAGAAGATCATCAACGCACCGGGGTTGGAACGGGTTGCCGATGGCCTTTCCAACTCCAGTGGATGGGCCCACTGTGTTTCACATGGTTAGGCACACCGAGCGGAACCACACAACTACCCAATGAAGCACTGTGAGTTGAACTCGATGTTTCAGACGTGTCTGCCTTCTCCTTCTCCTTTTAATAACGCATTCTTGACGCTAGACTCAAAGCCAGTGGGTCAAAGCAGCTGCTGAGGTGCTTTGACTTTGTGGGATGTGTTGACTCCTGCAACAAAAAACAGACACACTCACATGAGCGCTGGGGAGAGGGACGTAACTCTTGGACATGTGCACTGTGTCACACGCCCGGAAGCTCGGGGAAGGCTTTTCGGAAGGGATTGCTGTCGTGGAAGGTTCTGGAAGCTTTGTTGCCTGCTACTAAACCTGCTTTCCTTGTTGTGCCAATACTCACGGAAGCACTGGTAAAACATACGCCGCGGAAGGATGCGGAAGCAACGATGAAGACTATGCACCACGGAAACTCGGGGAAGGAACTCTGTCCAACATTTTCTCATTCGGCTCTGAGGACCAGCGGTGGACCATGAAGACCCAGGGGAAGTTCCACGCCTACATGGAGGCCCCGATCTACATTTTTCCGCATTTTTGTTGCGGGAGCGTTGCGCCCAGACCTCCAGGGATGCTTCCCTCACCTTTTTTCGGTTTGTTGTTGGTTCCTTCAACAAAATCAACGGCCAACAACACTCTAGTGGGTGCTGTTTCTCGGGACCACACTGGAGGCCTCGGACGCCAAGCCTTTTTGAGATGCGCCAAAAGAGCAGCCGCGGCTCGCGATTCCGGCCAGGTGGAGTTGAAGCAGCTCAGGGACCAGCTGGCCATCTTGACTGGCGTGCGCTGTTCGACTCCACAAGTCACGGATTGAGATGCGCCTCGGATGGGCTGTTGCCAACCACTTCCCGAGTTGGACTTGAAATGACTTGAAGACTTTTTGGGTTTGGACCATTCAGTGGCCAGTTCAAACTTTTTGTGCGAGTCTCACAGCGGACCACTGGGATTTCTCTCGACAAGAGCGGCCACCTTAAGGGTTTGCCGTTGGTGCCATAGAGCGATCGATCGAGGCATCAGTACAGCCTAAATTCAATGGTCGAAGGACTTTGGCTGACCGCACGGTCCTGACTTGACCGCGTCGCGCAACTCGAAAGGAAAAGGCACCACTGAGGGCCCAGGCTGTCATTCCCATAGCCTCCTTGGGTTTTGTACGAGCTGGCAGCTGACTGTGAAGACCTTGGCTTGGGAGCTTTGACAGAGATGCTTGTTGGGTGAGTGTCGTGGCTGCTTGCTTTGCAAGTCTGGGGCTCTGTGGATCAAGCATGCGGATCTGATTTCTACGCCACCAACAAAGCCAGCTGGCAGCCAGCCAGTCAGAGGCAACCAAGCCCGGCCTAAGCCAGCCAATAACCGAAACCACACTGCCCACCCGTTGCCATGCACACCTGGCCATCAGGCCTGAGTTGTCTCTGAGGCCGATCCATCTGTGGAGAGGATACGTGGAGCCCATCCCGGGTCGAAACTTTGTTTCTAGAACTGAGATGACTCAAAGCGAACGGGCCAAGACAAAGAGCTTGCTTCGTCACGGCACAAAATGCCTCGGTGAAGTTGCTATTCCGAAGAGCTGTTTGGACTCCTCTCCAAACCATCGACCCTTGGGAAGTACTCACTTGTTTTTAGAGCTGAGTGAGCGCGAGCTTGTTTCACCTAGCCCAAAAGCATAGTTTTCCAGGTTTTGGGCTTGTTTTCAAAACGGCAGGCCGACAACAAGTCAAAAGTCGGATCTTTTGGGGTTCCATGTTTGGTGTATGGCCGGTGAGGCATGCTGGTTGTGGCCAGGTTTCCTTGGGTGAACACTCCCCAAAAACCATGGGAACCTGAATTATTTTGGTCGCTCTAGCGACTGAAGCACGAGGCACTTTTGGCGGCATTGGCAAGCCATACCCATTGTTCTTGTGGGCTCAGATGTCCCTTCGCATGTCATTTCCCGTACATTCTTTGGGGCTGAGGGTTTGCTTTTGCCCCGACAGTCATGAAAATTGGCGGGAAGGCGTGGGAAGTCTATACTCTTTTCAGATTGTTGGAATGTGCTTTGGGCAGCGCTCCTTTTGACGCGGCCCGCACATGCCAAGTTTGGCCATTCCGCTCCCAGGTCTCGCCGCCGGCTCCGATGTGCTGCGGAGAAGGGCCCCCAGTTGTTGTGTTGTGTGTGTGTGTGTGCTGCCCCAGAAGTGCAAGCGCCCTGGGTGTTGTTGTCTATTTGTGTTTGTTTGGTTTTTCCAAACACATCAAGTTTGTTTTTTCTTTTAAATATGAATGGTTCAATGGCTCATGACACAAGGTGATCGGGGATTGCCTTTGAGTCAGCAAAACGAAACAAGAACAATGGGAGTAGCAAATGAACACAAAGTGATGGACAAGAAGGAGGCGGGTTTCAGATTTGGTCGTGCCTGTATCAGCATGCCTAATTATGAGGAAGCTCGCTGCAGCATGCGACTCAAGCCCCTGTCCACGCGCGGGGCAGTGTGTCAAACTTCCGGCCTTGACGAGCGTTCCTTTCTGCCCTTTCTGCCCTTTCTGCTCTGATTTTCCTCTCTCTTTTTCTCTTTTTCCTGCCGTTTGACACACCGCCATGTCGGGATGGATAGAGGTGCGAGATGGCATCGAGTCGTGCGTGCGGGACACCTTCCTGGAGTTCCGCGTCGTGGGCTCGGAGCCGAAGCTTCGGCGGTCGAAGTCCACCGGAAGCATTGAAGCGACTCCAGTGACTCCAGCGACTCCAATGTTCATGCCCAAGGCGCGGGGAAGTTTGTTTGACGTGAGGCTGAATCGGGGGGGGGGGGGGGCGTTTTTTGCCCAATCAGTTTTTCTGACAGACCAAGAGGTGAATAGGATGTCAGCAACCGGGCTTTGTTTTCTAGGTTGATACATACTGGCTGGAGCGTGCTGATGCGTCCACTTGGGATGTTCACAGGACACTCCCTAATATGTTTGAATTGAGAGCTACCGGCGGTGTGGTTCAACAGTTTTGGATGATGCTGCTGTATTAAAACCTCTTCCCACAGGGAAACGGCCCTGAAGCCAGCGCAAGCAAGAACAACATGATGTACTGGATCTTTCATGCTTTGGCGACATACCTCCCACAGCATCTTGGAGGGTCGAGGGGCGGTGTTGTGCGTCGGCCTGTCCCGCCGAAGATAGCAGAAGCACGGTGCATCTGCTGTGTCCGTTTGTCTGTGAGAGCCAGTGCCTGCAACAAAAGCGAATGTGGTCCGAATCCAGACATTGCGCTTACCAAACGCAGCTAGCACGACTGACGCCCCCATACATCTGGCAACAAGCTTTCGACTCATTGGGCCACGTTGCAATGACGGTCGCGCCCGGCAGACTCAAGATTCCGATGAGAAATTAAATCAGAGGGGTACTCGTCGCTGGTATATATACGTGAGGGTCGGTACCTTATCCATCATCACGCATCCTTTGACCGGCGGCACTCCCTCGGTGACTGGCACGACCTCGAACACGCATACGACACATTCCCTCATCGCAGCGCAAATGCAACAGCTCCGGACGGGTTGGACAGGAAGCGACGCGTTCCGGACTTGGTCTGGCCCGCAAGGATTTGGTTGCTTCTTTGTCCTGCGGACCGAGTCGAATTTGAGAAATGATGCGTTCGGGATGGGCCCGAAAAAGGAATTGTGACTCATCCAGCTCAAGGCTACTTACTGAGACCTGCTTGGATCAAAAGTTATCTCAGCTTTTCCCGGTCCCCTCATAGAGGGCGGGTTGTGTTTTAATTGATGCTTAAACGCGCGTAAATGGCAAAAGAGGGACCAGTATGGCTTGGTTGTCAAAGTTGGCCATACCCTTGTCCAGGCTTCCAAGATCAGCGCAGGCGGGATGGGCGTTGGAAAAGACGACAACAAGTTTGCAGAGGGGATGGTGAAATCTGACGGGGCGGTGCTTGATGTTTGCATGCTGCCAGATCAGATTGCATACCAGTTAGAAGTGGGCTGGGTATGTCATTGATCCTGAGTGTTGATTGAACCTGCGCACCCACGTTTGATCGGCTGGTGAATTTGCACGAGTGGAGCTTTGTGCTCCTGTCAGATTTTTCGGATGCCACCAAATGTCTGAATTGGCAAACGGAAGGGTATTTATTTTAGTTGTTTTTCTTTTTGTTTCCCCGTTTTTTTCTTTTTTCTTTTGGCTTATTGGCTTCTTGGCTTTTTGGCTTCTCGGCTTCTGGGCTTTTCGGCTTTTTGTTGGTGTATGCGGCTTTTGGCGGCTTTTTGGCTTTGGCTATTCGCATTCTCTGCATTCCCAGTTCCTCTTCGGCAGGTGGCGTTTTAGCTTTTGCGGCTTTTCGCTGGTTTATGCGACTTTTGGGGGCTTTGGCTTTTCGCATCCTGCTTTCACAGTTCCTCTCTGGGCTTTTCAATTTCGCGAGAAAATGCTGTAAAATACGACATTTGACTGGCCCGGACGAAAAACGGGAAACAACATCCCACAAAAATCCGACAAAAAATCCAAACAAATCCGCACCCTTGGCAAATGCATCGTTTCTGGGCGATTCTTTGGTTGCTGTAACGGAATTCGGTGCATCAAGATTTAAGTAGCTGTCTCAGAAACTGACTGGTGAAGGGGGAGGGGCGCCGATTTGACATGCCGTGTGGGCAACATGAAGTTGGCGTTTGTTTTGGGTGTTCCCACAAAAGAGGACAATGAATGGATGTTTTCAACACCATCCCAAAGGAAAGAAGTTAGGCAGCTTCCAAAGTGACGAGCGGACGAAAGCAAAGCGTTTTGCGGAAACGAATTTTGCAGGGTTTGAAGACAGTTTCCAGGGCAATCGTCCAATAGAATCGGTTTTGTCTTGGCAGGAGATTGCTTTTCGGCTGCGGGGGATTCTTCCGCATCTACGAAGACAAACTCTGGCTGTGTTTCACCCTGCGGGACCAAGGACGGGGGACCGAAGGCTGAGTCGTTTCCAGTAGGCTCACTCCTGAGATGGCAAACAAACAAATTCTACAATCAAACTGAGTTTAGATTCTGAATTTGGGGCGGTTGAAAGGCGTTGGGCTTGAGGGAAATAGCTACATGATCTTGTTTGCCTCATGTCCCCGATCCCTGGCCGTCGCGAGGAGGTATACCTACAGAGCGCCATTGAGGCTTTGCATCGTGCGACGTGTCAAGGTAAGCAGGCGAGTCGTTGCGAGGTCAGCGACATCATTCTGCAACTTCCCACCCTGGCAGACTTGCCGGCAGACAGCAAGTCGCGGCTGATGTCGCAGCTGATGTGGAGCTTGGGCAACTGGGCAAATTATGGCCCGTACTTGTGAATTGTAGCCTCTAAAGCCGTCGATGGTCAAAGCTCAAAACCGACTTGAATCCTCAAATCGACCTGTCCACGGCCAGTTGCAGTTGAGTATGCATCTTTGCACCTGAGCCACTTGTCAAAGACATGTTTGAACAACAGTTGCTCAAACATTTTTTGCCCAACTCAGCAAGCTGGCCTCAAGGTAAGATGCAGTACAAGCAGGTCGAGGTGTATGCTTTGCCCGACCTCATACCCTCGGAGCTCGTGACGTTTCGCACCAGTGACCTGTGCGCAATGCTCTGGGGCTCCGTCAAGCGACTTGGACTTTCCCGATGCTTTTTCTCACTTTTTGCAACAGACAGATGGCCATGAATGTGATTTGTATGTGATTTGTAGCGCTTTCAGAATTGATTTGCGGATGTCACGGGCCAACCACTTCAAATGGATAGCCAGACAGTGTCTTCGGTCAGCAAGTCAGGTTGGGAATCACCGAGTTGTCCCGGCGCATCATCACCGCGCTGGATACCATGCCCTTGAGGGATGTGCCCCCACAGAGCGTGGCCAACGGCATGTGGTGCTTGGGTACCTTGAAGCTGAACACAGCAGCTGCCAGAAGCGTCTTCAGCAAGTCCCATGGCCTTACGCGGATTCCCGTTTTGGCTTGATTTTGCTGTTCTCGGAGGTTGTATTTCTGTCGTTTTGGCTCTTTAGGGAAGGCCTTTGCCTGCGGAAAAGACCCCCACCGGCGCCACTGCTCGTTTGGCCCCGTTTCGTTTCGACCGGCTTCAGGTTTCTGCAGCTGGCAGTGCAGGACGACATGAGGAACTTCACCTGCCGCTCAATGAGACTGGCGACGCCTTATATGTTTTTGCCCTCACATGATTCTGAGTTTTTCGGATGGTAAAGAGCATTTGCTTTATGCAATCAGCCCAGGGTCCCCATTTTTTGCGAAACAAACCGGAGGCCGCCCTTGTGAAGATTTCGGCCCAATTCAGGGCGGCCTACCCTTTAGTTGATGATCCAATTCCAGTTCAGGTGGACTTGCAAACAAAGGACAAATGGACTCCCTTTTTGGTTCCCTTCAGTGGTTCAACCCTGATTCCCCGGGATTCACCCATCAATCTCGGGGTTGATTCTCCGAACACCGACCGAAAATCTCCACGTTGAGGCCAGGGGGTGGCCAACAGCCTGTGGGCAGCGGCCCACCACCAGCTGGACAAGCTTCAGGCCCAGCATTTCCTGAAGAAGGCAGTGCTCAGGGCCATGGAACTTGAGACCAGCGACTTCCAACACGAGGCGGGAAAGGCGCAGGTGCGCAGGTGCGCAGGTGCGCAGGTTCGCAGGTTCCAACTCCTTGGGCGGGGCGGGGGGGGGGTTGCCTACCAAGATGGTGCCCCCAGTTCAAGGTGGACCCTAATGCGCACCAATGTTTCAACACAATTCATCACAACACCCTCCCCCCAGAACACAAACCAGACAACAAATACATTTTTCCAAAATCTCACATTTGCTTAACAAATGATAAAATATATCTTACAATGATTTTCTTTTTTGGTTCTCCTTGCTAAGTTAGTTGTGCAGAGGAGAAGACCAATATCAAGAAACTGACTTGCGGGTAATTAAGCATACAGACAGGTGTAACAACAACATGGTTTACACAAGTTTCTTTGCAACTCTATACTATCAATTAGTGCACAATGTTTTGGTTTCTTTCTTCATTGTCCCATCCTGAATAGACTGATTTTCCAGATAAGTTTTGTTATTGTTTGGTTCTAGTGCTTTTGCTTTGTCTAACGCTGTATCACGATGACTCTTTTTATCATGTTTGATCTATGTGTCCATCTTAAGCAAGCAATATTTGAAACTTCAAGTCATTTCTTTTTTCAGAACAACAGTTCATTGTGCTTGCGAGATAAACACACCATGTTCCATTCATCAATTCTCTGCTTTCACTCTTTTAAAAGAAGGAACATTATTTAAAGCATTAGAACATCTTTGACAACCAGCGCACAATATAAACTTTATTAAGCCATCTTTGATCATGTCTATTACTTTGTGCTTACTCGTAACTATTAGTTGTAATTATCTTGATGTACCCCCTATATCACATTTACCAATTCGACCTAATGCCTTCTTTCTACATAAATCACATGTATCTCTTTTTTCTTCAGTTGAATGTGTAACACTGCTTCGTTTCAGAATCGCGCATGTTCACCTACTATTGTAAGACAATTTTCCTTTAAATTGATGTTGCCTACAATTAAACTTTCCGCAACTCGTGCCGAAGATAAGGATCACTTTTGCGTTCCAGATCAGAATAATTTCCCTGTACTTCTTTCAACCCCCTTTTTCATTAATCCCCAATTGATATTCGCTGTGGTCTGCTTGATTTTGTTGTCGCGAAGCTCGCGAGCCTTTGGCAAGGCGTCCTCAGTCTTGTCAGGACAAGTCACAACCTGAAACAGTTCATCAAGCGCCTTTTTGTCATCAACCTTCAACACATTTGATGGTATTTTTCTAGTACAACATCGTCATTGAGACTCCTTTAAGTACTTACCATACACCGGATCAAAACTTTGGTTGAACAACATGTTGCCCTGATTTGCTTGAACACATCATGAATTGCAGTTGTTGAAATCGCAAGTGTGGTCATAAGGTTTCAAACCATCAGATTTTTTAAACACTGGTATGTGAGTAATTCTGCTTGCATTTGCAGAACCTTTACATCTATCATGCTACACCTTCTACTTGTTTGCCTGCATTGCTTATTAACTTGCTGTGTGTCAACCTCATTGAAGTTTTCGCACAATAGTTTTCTTTTCTGCACATTTCTTCACTGGTTTTTGCCCTGTATTAACTGTGATGTCTTTATCAATTCTGTCTCTGTCTAAATTCTGATTGATTATTTAATAATACGCCTTCTTTTGCTTCTTTCCTATCTTACATGTAAAAAAAACACGTGAATTTCTGTTGTTTTTCCTGCATTATATCTAATGTGCGGTTCATATCCTGTTGTGATGAATTGAACTGTTTTGAATATTGGTGTGAATTGGGAGGGGGGGGGGGGTTGAGGGCATATCTCTACCTTAGGTAGGTGTGTTGAGACGGGGCTTGTCAATTGCGGAAAGGTTAGTAACCTAGGGGGCGGTGGTTGCTTACACGGCTGCTCGGGGTTGTCTTGTTTTGGGGTTTGTTTTGCCAGGCTTGTTTTCTTGAAGACACGCCAGAATTGGTAGGAATCTAAGATGGAAAGGGTCCAACAAATGAAGATCTTGAGAAACAGTGTCTTGTCGCCCTTTATTCGGCAAAAGCATGGATGTCCCCGTGCTGGCCTGCTGGTCACTTGCAGGAGCTATGCATGGCCGTCTGGGCGGTGGGCAGGATCATTTGGAGCGCCCGGGATTCGCGTGGGAACTTCTTACGGGGCCAGTACAAGTGCGTGCAGGACGCTGACGAATCCGTTTTCGACTCGGTGAATTACAGTGAACACTTCGCTTCTTTTACCGGGTCCCTTAAAAGGAGCGTGGTGAGATTTTCCCAAAACTTCTATTGGGATCCAGTGGTTTCCTTTCAAGCCACCATTTTGAGGGAAATGTTGGAGATATCATTCTTCTGTGTAGTCGCCCTTTGACTTCATGCCCTTTTCAGACCACCTTATTGGAAACATCGTTGGGGCTGGTGCCAATTTTTCTTGTCCACCAAACCATGGCTTCGTGACAAAAATAGCAGAAAACGAGGAAATGAACCAACCGATGAAACTTATGCTTTACCCAGATGGTCTATTGGGGGCGTTCCGAAAGCAAGTGAGAACAAACAATTGGTTTTCGGTCATGGGTTCTTCTTTGGTTTCAAAGGGAAAAGGAGCCAAGCATGTTGGGGGTCCATGTCCTTTTGAGACACTATTCTCTTCTGAGCGGCTGAGCGGGTTTTTTTAATCAAGGACTGGCTGCTGCTGGCCTTTAAGGAAGCCACCGGAAAGATCCGCCTGCTCAAGCCGCAGGGCGTGTCGATGATCGCAATCACCCTGAAGAATTTGAAGCAGGACAGCGCCTGGGCGGCAAGCAGAGCTTTTCCGCGAATGCGTTAGGTTTTAGTGAACCCAATTGAAGATCCTGGGCACTTTTTCCTCTTAGTAGTGAGGTTTTTGGCGGCGGGGTGTTTGGGGCTGTTTTAAGTTTTTGCGGAAACTGACAAAGTGGCCCACTGTTTAGCATGCTTAGTGCTTTGACCAACCGCAGCCCCAGTTGTGCGCAAAAGGGCCTCTAGGTTGCTGTAGGTTTGTCACCCCCTCGTAGGCTCTCATCAGTGGGTAGCGCGGAGCCTGCTCTCTGTGCCCAGGGCCAGGAGTGGGCGATGCCATGGCATCCTCGGCGGAACTCGGATCAGGCAGAGAAGAGCATCCTCAGAAAGAGGCCTATGCGGACCCTCCGGCACATCATGAAAACTCTCAGAGGATCGCCTGACCAACCAGGGTATCAAGATCCAGGACACCTGAGTAGGCCAAAAAGCAGGACGGAGCTACGGAGAAGGTTCAGGCAAGGCAAGGTGCGCAGGCGAGACGGTCCCTGAGAAGGGAGCAGGAGTTCTCCATGGCGTGCTACGTGAACCTCACCGCATGGGCATCCTCTTGGAAGAGCGCACGGGCTTGGGAAGCAACAAGCCCTCAGCTTGAAGACCTTGACGTTGCGGTCCACGGAGTTCCGGAGTGGCCCAGGAGAAAAGGCTGCTGAGGAGATCCGACTGGCTGAGGAGTCGGCGCTGGAGGTTGGCGCTGGAGGGAGAAAGGAACAGGTCCTGGAAGGAGAGTAAGAAGCTCAGAAGTGCAAGGCGGCCCGCGTCGCGCGCCAAGGACAACAAGTACGGGGGCTGCGCCCAGTGATCATGTAAGAGCCACTTGCGAGGGTAGAAGTGATTGAATTAGAAGGGAGACGCGCTGACCACTTCCCGGCAGAGGTCACCTGCCCCACAAACTCAAATCAAGTCCGGAAGCAGCAGGAGAGCGAACAGCGCGTGATGGAGGAGGATCTGCGGACAGCTGAGCGGAACTTTGTCCCAGTTCCTAGGCCGTGCTGCTTGTCACCCGTCTTTTCAACTTCAGGCATCTCCATGAAAGAATGCACCTGACTCTGCGGAAGCCCGTCCGTCACTCTTTCATGAGGTTGGAGGGGAGTGCAAACCTGCTGGAGAGAATGGAGACCATGCCCGCCGCCTCCGGCCTGGTCTGGTGTGCGACCCAGCAAAAATCGGTACAGCGTAGAGCAAGAGCTCTTCAACTCCTCCCACTCCAGCGGCTCCTCTTTCTTGCCCATCGCTTGCGAGATCTCCACAGCGTGCGCTCAGGGTTCGCCACTCTTGAAGGTCTGCCTTCTTCTTTCCTATCTGGCTCTGGGCGATTTCCCCGTTCTTGGTCTCTCCCCGAAGAAAATCTCGGAGACGCCCTCTTCATCCTTTGGCTTGTGAGCGAGACCCTGTCGCTTTCTCAGTGCCTCGGAGAGCTGGAGTGGCTCCAGGTTTCTACCGATGTGGTGAAGGGCTGGCAGAAGAGCCTCTCGCCCTTCATGATGTACTTGCCCGAGGAGTCAGCTTGGGCTTCGGCAAGAGCTGCAGCGTCTTTGACGGACGCGAGGTTCGTGTATGATGCAATCTACAAGCAGAGCCCAGGCGTCTCGTCAAGATCGACGCACCTCGTTGCAGCTCGTGGCCATCTTGGACTTGATGCAGAAGGTTGGAACAACGGCGGGAAACGGGGCTCTCTTGGAACTCTTCGCAAAGACGACGAGGAGAAGGAGCTGATGAAAAGACAGAGCTGCAGTGAAAGCAAGCTCAGATCGAGACATGCGAGAAACCCTTTTTTGAGCCGGGAGGAGACCTACTACACGAGGGTTCTGAGCACTGCAGTTTGGTCAGCAGAAATTTGGTGGAGGTGACAAAGTGGCTGTTTAGCATGCTTAGTGATTTGACGCACCACAGCCCCAGTTGCGCGCAAAAGGGCCTCTAGGTTGCTGTAGGTTTGTCACCCCTTCGTAGGCTTTCATCAAATCCTTTGCGTTTTTGTTTGTGAAGGGTAATCGAATGGAACGTTTCCCCACTCCCAGCTTTTGGGTTCCCTATTTTTAGGAGAACGTTGCAAGCCGATTTGGAGGCTGCCACAAGGGACCCAAGAACATTTCGGGATGCCTGCTTCGACACCACAAACGGAAGATGTGAGTGTGCTAGGGGGTTCAGGGGTTCCCTTGCTTCACCGTGCCATCGGACAATAGAAGGAGCCCTGACTAACTGAGGATTCCCAGAAGCGCGAGACTTCCTGCTGGCTGCAGCTCGAGAGCTGTCCGGCAAGGTTCACGAGTGCTCTGGGCAGGCTACAGCTGGGGAAATTATGTATAATATACATATATATATATATATCCAGCTGCTGGCCACCTTTGAATATCCATGGAACCTAAAGAATAATCTTTAAGCAGAATGGTCAGACGTGATTGTCTCGACCCGAGGCCTTGGCCAACCTTTGTCATGTCTTTTGTGGCCGAATGATGGTGAAGTTGTGGCCCTCTGAGACTTTGGAGGAGCGAGCCGCATACAAGGCACAGGTGGTGGTCCCCTTCGCAGCCGCGGTGGCGAAGAGATTGACCTCCCAGGTTTGGGACTATTCCTCGAGGGATTTGTTCGCCATTGCAAGCTCCTTTGCCAGAGCCAAGCTGGGACACGTCCAGGAAGTCCATGACTTTGCAGTGGCCTTGCTGAACGCGCCGTCCAATGGAAGCCTCACCTCCCAGGATTCCATGAATTTGGTCTTCTTGATGAATTCGGGTAAGAAGTTTCAGGCTCGGAGCATGCCCTGCCTTCCCAGCCTGAGTGTTTCTTGATTGGACCATTTCTTGAAGGGTTGCGAAACATGTTTTGGCACCCCTCATTCTTCGGAATGTCACCCCGTGTTGGCTTTCTGGCCCGGAAGGCCAAGCGCTCATAGCGACGGTGCTTGGTGATCCTTGGATGTCGGCTCCTCCTATCATTGAGGTGCAGAAGTGCCAAAGTGTCGGATTGGGGGCTAGAGAGGCAGCGACAACGGGATTCCAGAGTGAACCAAGGGATCTTCCGATCTTCCCTAGTAAAATCCGATTTGGAGCGACGCATAGGGCAACCAGGGCTGAGGGCTAAACACGGTTCGCTTGTTCCGTTCAGCCACATACACCGGGAAGTACCCTGCCGACTCACTCAAGCTTGGCACTAACAGCTCCAAGAAATTACTTGAGCACACGTGTGTTCTTATTGACTCTAAAGAGCGCCCATTGGAGTGAGCGGTCGATGTGGCACATAACTGCCCGCCAGGCCCAAATAGCCCTGCGCACACAGATGCTCAGGGCCTGCGGGAGGTGCTCCCCGACAGAGATTGCATTGTATTTTATATGACGCCAACTTTCGAAGCTTTACACACGGACATGTGTCAAACTAGGGGCATCCCAAAATGGTAGTTTTTGTTTTGGTTTCCCTTTCATCCGCTTCCTGATTTGTAATGCACACTACTAATAAACACATTTTCGCGAAAGCACGAAACCCTGCTTGCACAGCTCTGCTTGCGTAGCTCATGTGGGAGGACGCGTAAAAACACATGTGAAATTGATCGGGCGGGTCAATACGCCACATCGCGCGCAAAATGGAGTTTTCCGACTTCGCCGACGAGCCCTTTGCGTGGATCCGGCAGGCCGATGCGCCAAATCCCACACGACCTTGAACTTCGCCGACTCTGCGTGGTTTGTGGGTCGATGTGCAGAAAGCACATGAAATGCAACGTTGCCTGCGTCCGGTGGTTCGGTGCGCAAAAACCAAACAATCATATGTTTTTTTCAACGTTGCAGATGACCGGTACGTGGATCAGGTGGCTCGATGCGCAAAAACAGTCACGTGCTCCAATTTTTGACTTTGCCGATTGTCCCTCTGCGTAGATCGGGGTGGGCGGATGCGCAAAAACACACGCGAAGTGAATTGAGCGTGTCGCCCAAAAACAACTTTCTGGACTAACCCTCTGCTTGGATTGGGTGGGGCGGGTCACTGCGCAAAACCTCCCACATGAAGAGTGTTTTTCGGCTTTGTCGAGACAGTAATGCATGCTCTCACTTTTACAAACTTTACTCGTTGAGCCGAGGTTGACGTTTTTGTTTGGAGTTTTCTCTTAGTTTGATACGTAAACACGCCTCCTTGTGCCTGGCAGCTGGTTTTGCTCACTCAGATTCACACTGGTCAAAGCAGCCTGTGCTTTGTCCCTTTCGTGACAACAGCCACGTTCCATTTGTGCGCATGGCGGCCACGTCAAAGATATGTTGATGCAATTGCTCTTGTTTTGGTGGTTGCTTGTAGCGGCCGCGTGGCAGTGCAGACATAGGAAGTCGAATGGCTGGCTTCAGATGCATGCTTGTTTCAAAGTTTACCCCGACTCCAGTTGTATTTGGGGGATGCTTTCTAAATCAAGACTGCCAATACTAGACCAATACTAGACCAATACTAGACCAATACTAGACCAATACTAGACCAATGCTAAACCAATTTTAACCCGATCGAAGCCAGCAAAAACCCGACAGAGGACATTGATTTCTGTTGTTTAGATTCCTTATCAGAAATTGCCATTTGGACCGATTTTTAGGCCCGGAAAGGTGGAGGACTGACGAGGACCGTATCCTGCAGTACCCTATTGGTCAACGTTGTTTCGGTTGGTTCCAGACCATGTCCCTGTGTAATGTTCCCCGGCAGAGCACCAGAGAGTCTGCCCGATTGCAGCTTCATTACAAGCTGACAAGCCCGGTTAGCTCTTGGTTCTTGCTAACAGGCAAGAACGGCCCGCTCGATTGCAGCTGCATCACAAGCTGGCGAGCGGTGCATTTTTGCTCCCTGGGACCAGCCGAAAACGGCTGGTGCAAGCCATCCAGTTTAGTGAGTGTGCTCAGCTACATCAGCCTTGCTTCAGGTGGGATTTGTTCTGGAAGCATGCATGATGCTTTTTTCTGAGATGTCGCTGTGGCACACACACACACACACATCGTTTTCGCATAATACCCTGCCAGCTAGTGCGTGGGTAGTAAATGGGCCTCCATGGGCCTCCCATTTACCCAGCAAACTGGCAAGTCTCACGCATGCTTTGCCTGCAGGCAAGGGGCAGTTTTGGGGAAGCGCTCTTTTTTCCTTCTTTGCGGACCCTGGCCTGCAGCATCAAAGCGACACCAACGGATTCATTTCTCGTCGAAATTGCAGTTGCTTTGTGGTGCTTGGTCGACGAAAGATTGATAGATCGAGCCTTTGACCATGGGCGTCCTTAGCGCATTGAAGTCCATTCTTTTGCGGAGGATCGGATGTTCAACTGAGATTTGGGCTGGAGTCAAGTGGCTGAGTTCAATTCCATGCCAGTTTAGCTTAGATCATAAAGCTGCTGGCCCATAGTGGCACGTCCTCAGGCTATCGCAAGTAGGAGTGACAGTTGCTTGCAGGATCTTCAGCATCATAGATGCCAACTGTGACAGCTTCGTCAGACCAAAGCAACCAGTCCAGCTTCGCCCGAGCTGGGGTCAATGCTTTCCAGTTTGGCTTTCCGGCAGTGCTGTTTCTTGTAACCCACACAGTGAAGTTTTCAAAGGGCCCCCTTCTGCCTGATCTTGCAAGGGAAGCAAGTACAGAGGTTACCACTCAAAGGGGAAGGGTCGCTTCAAACAAGACCATTTCCAATTGAGCCCACGTGCCACTTGAAAGTCCTGCGAAAGCCGACTGTGCAATATGCGAGCAGCTACGTCGCTTCAATGTGTGGATGGAAGTGATTGTGCTACATATGTTTGAATGTGTGGACAAACCAGCTGTGGCTAAAGTTCAGATGTTGCTGCGCAAGTTGCACTCTCCGTCCATTTGACTGTCAACAGTTTGGCCAGGTAAGTGCATGATGGGGCCCACCTTGCGTTTTCTTTTGCTTTGTTGGCCTCATTTTGCGATGTGGCGCCTGTGGACAGGGTACATCTGACCGACGCTGTGTGGTCCAACCCTGAACAGACACAGCTGATAGATCTCGGACCGGCGTTCCAAGTCCCACAGCCTTCCAGAATTCGCTGACCGGTTGATGAGAACAGGTGGCAAGCGATGGGTACGTAGTTTCCGGGTGAGCCCGGGATTACATCGTGGCAGTGGGCTTGAATATTTTCGCAAACAGTTGCCGGGCTGATTGTGAATCACTGTCATTGCACTGTGCTTGACACGGGGCCCGTGCCGCTGACAAAGTTTGCTCAAAGTAGCCTGAGAGAGCGGATTCAAGCAAAATGATGGCGAGTTCCGGCGCACTGGTGGGGCACTTCTTACGTGCAACGAGAAAATGAAGCTGGGTGTTGCCCGTGCAGTTTGTGTAGATTGCTTTCAGACATGTTTGTGCTGTGGTCTTAGGGACCTTTGTGACAAGCATGTTTGCCCTGACGAAACTCAATCGGCGCGCTGCGCACCGGGCCAGGATGTCTCGCTCGCGAATAAACGGTGACAATCCACCATGGATGTTCGTGTGGGTATCGCAGGCATTTATACCAGCCCTGTTTTGAAGAATTTTCTCGTCGCCCCGTGTTTCTCAAAATAGGGGTTAGCTTTTTGGATGGTTTGAAGGGGAATTAAAAGGACATCAATCACCAGTCCCACATTCTGAGAAGCCCAAGTGACTGCCTTGGAATTTCTCAACATCTTGGCTCAGGCACCCTTGCCAGCTTTGCGGCACTCGTGGTGAAAAGAGGAGAGCTGCGTCACCGGACACGAGAAACGGAGACCAAACAACCCTAAAACACAATCCCAAGCCCAAACGCCTAAGCCAAAACCCCAATAAACCCTAGTAGAACCAACGCCTTAAACCTAACAATCCCCAACACCTTTTCCTACATCCTAAACCCAAGACCTAAGCCCTAAGACCTGAACAAGTCGCTAAACCTACAACCTAGCGCTAAACCTATCTAAACCTAAACCCAGAAAAGCCACTAAGCCTACACTCTAAAGCAACATTTATCCCAAGAGCAAACAGCCTTCCCCCAAACCCTAAGCCTTCAAAATCCTAAACCCCTGAACACCTCTCAACCCAAAACGCTGTCACCTGGAAGCCGAAGCGCGAAACCCAAACCAAACCCCAAACCCAGCGCGTAGCCTCAAAAAGCTGCAGCTCAAACCTTCAACCTAGTACGTTTGTGCTTAGCAACCCATGCATTCCTGTGAACTTGGCTCTTTGTGAAACTTTTGGTGTTTAGAAAGAAAGACAAATAGATTGCAAGTTAGACCCTGCTCGTTCTTTCGCTTTTCCTAATCTCGTTTGGGCGCAATGCTACTTCGTGGCTGGAGGCTTCCAAATCCCGGGGCCATTTGTGCATAAGCCAAGCAGAAATATTAATTCTCACCATGTGGCTCAACCTGTTGCTTCCTGATTGACCCAACTGTTTGTGCCCTTGAGCGACGTTCGGGCTGGATTCACGTGCACAGGCCAGTCAGGAGCAAATACTCAGCATCCCCCCTTCCTCTCCGTTGCCCTTCAAGGTCTATCCCACTTAGGGGGGGCTCTCGGGTTCTTACCGGGACGCAACGCTGTTTGGCGCCGCGGCTCAGCACGTTCTGGAAAGAAAACATCCGCGTGCGCGTTTCCGCGGAGCAGCAGCATGCGCTGGACTCAGTCTCAGTCGGGTTGCCTGCGTGCGTGCATGCGTCCGGGACGCAGAGGGCTTACTTTGGCCACTGAGGGTTTACTTTGCCACCTTCTTCTGTGGGGTGGGTTTCTGAGTTTCGGGCTTGCAAAACAGACTCTAGGCGGTTTGCTAGTGCGAGATAGTTTTCCGTTCAGTCGAAAGCACTAAGCGCATGACGCTAACTGCGCGGATGTGGGGGAAGTACGTTGCATTGCCATGTGTGCACATGTCCTGGCACGCAGATCAACATTGCTCCATCTCCTTTGCATTTTGGATTCCATCTTGGTTTCGTTCTCAACCAAAACACCTCTTTTGGGGAACTCTCCAAAGAGCACGTCACTTTGATTCCACTTCCCAAGAGCTAGGTCCGTCGCCAGCATCGTCCCTCTGGAGGAGAGGCTCAGGTCTTCGGCCCACGCCACTCTCCCGGCTGTGCCTTCCCTTGATTTCAAGGCGGTTTCCTTCGTGTCCAGAGAAGTTCATGTTCCTTTGACTGGGATTCACCCGCCACGTTCAACCATGCGATGTTTCCCACGTTTTTTCTCCGGGTGGCAAGAAACAAGGATTGGGGTGCAAGCTGTAGCCTTTGTGCTCGCTTTTTCTTGCTTCCTGGCAGCGGATTCACTCCGGATTTGCACGGCCCAGCGGCAACCAGAGTGCTCCCCAGAGAGGTCTTGGAGCTTGTGTTCGCTTGTGAAACTTGGCTTGGAGGTGCAGCCTAGGGTTCCGGAACTGCGGTATTCAGGGCTCACGCTGATTCTTGGTGTTTTGTCACGGTCCTTCCAGAGCTTCGTGTTGGGCCTCTAGTGCCACCAGTGGTTAGGGTTTCAATGCCATGAGCAAAGTGGTAAATCTAGCCAAAACGCAGAGCCCCGATCAAGGTCAGGATGGCTGATGTCCAGACTTTGACTAGGCAACTCCTGCATAGTTCTTTCCCAACCAACATGCTATACGTAGTCCATGTTTATTTGGAACGTCCTTCGAGGACTTTCCTCTCCCGTGCAGTTGGTGGCGGAATCAAGTCTCCCACCCTCGGCTCTGCTTCGCAGGACGGATGGGAAAAAATCAAGAATGAGGGCATAAAGGCGCGGAGCATTTCCTTTCTTCAAGGAACTCGCATATCGGGGCAGCAACTGGTCCAATTCGAAGCGACATGTTTCCATATATGGCTCTTTCTACTGGGTCTACAGTTCTGGGATCATTGTTGTTTTGCAAAGTCCAATCCGAACACATTTTTGTGTTTGTTGAGGGTAACTCCTTTTCGGGGACAACTCAGGACAACCATGATTTTTGGGGGGTCGGCCCCATTTTGGCGCATGTCCATGGCTGCTTTGCGCTGTTCAGTCAAATGATAGATCAAAGCTTGCAAGAGGCATGGTTGCCTGTTCCGCGTTCTGCATGCCAACGTACCCATGTTCTGCATGCCACCAGGAATAGTAACACGGTAGTGGCAACACGGTAGTAGTAACACGGTAGTAGTAACACGGTAGTAGTAACACGGTAGTAGTAACACGGTACTAGTAGCACGGTAGTAGTGACAGGGTAGTAGTAACACGGTAGTAGTAACACAATAAGTAGTGACACGGTAGTAGTAACACGGTAGTAGTAACACGGTAGTAGTAACACGGTAGTAGTGACACGGTAGTAGTAACACGGTCATAGTAACACGCTAGTAGCAACACAGTAGTAGTAACACGGTAGTAGTAACACAGTAGTAATAACACGGTAGTAGTAACACGGTAGTAGTAACACGGTAGTAGTAGTAACACGGTAGTAGTAGTAACACGGTAGTAGTAGTAACACGGTAGTAGTAGTAACACGGTAGTAGTAGTAACACGGTAGTAGTAGTAACACGGTAGTAGTGACACGGTAGTAGTGACACGGTAGTAGTGATAATAACACGGTAGTAATAACACGGTAGTAGTAACACGGTAGTAATAACACGGTAGTAGTAACACGGTAGTAATAACACGGTAGTAGTAACACGGTAGTAGAAACACGGTAGTAATAACACGGTAGTAGTAACACGGTAGTAGAAACACGGTAGTAATAACACGGTAGTAGTAACACGGTAGTAGTAACACGGTAGTAGTAACACGGTAGTAATAACACGGTAGTAGTAACACGGTAGTAAAACCACGGTAGTAGGAACACGGTAGTAGTAACACGGTAGTTGTAACACGGTAGTAGTAACACGGTAGTAGTAACACAGTAGTAGTAACACGATAGTAGTAACACGGTAGTAGTAGTAACACGGTAGTAATAACACGGTAGTAGTAGCACGGTAGTAGTAACACGGTAGAAATAACACGGTAGTAGTAACACGGTAGTAGTAACACGGTAGTAGTAACACGGTAGTAGTAACACGGTAGTAGTAACACGGTAGTAGTAACACGGTAGTGATAACACGTTAGTGATAACACGGTAGTAGTAACACGCTAGAAATAACACGGTAGTAGTAACACGGTAGTAGTAACACGGTAGTAGTAACACGGTAGTAATAACACGGTAGTAGTAACACGGTAGTAGTAACACGGTAGTAATAACGCGGTAGTAGTAACACGGTAGTAATAACACGGTAGTAGGAACACGGTAGTAATAACACGGTAGTAGTAACACGGTAGTAGTAACACGGTAGTAGTAACACGGTAGTAGTAGTAACACGGTAGTAGTAACACGGTAGTAGTAGTAACACGGTAGTAGTGACACGGTAGTACTGATAATAACACGGTAGTAATAACACGGTAGTAGAAACACGGTAGTAATAACACGGTAGTAGTAACACGGTAGTAATAACACGGTAGTAGTAACACGGTAGTAATAACACGGTAGTAGTAACATGGTAGTAGTAACACGGTAGTAATAACACGGTAGTAGTAACACGGTAGTAGTAACACGGTAGTGATAACATGTTAGTGATAACGCGGTAGTAGTAACACGGTAGAAATATCACGGTAGTAGTAACACGGTAGTAGTAACACGGTAGTAGTAACACGGTAGTAATAACACGGTAGTAGTAACACTGTAGTAGTAACACGGTAGTAATAACACGGTAGTAGTAACACGGTAGTAATAACACGGTAGTAGTAACACGGTAGTAATAACACGGTAGTAGTAACACGGTAGTAGTAACACGATAGTAATGACACGGTAGTAGTAACACGGTAGTAATAACACGGTAGTAGTAACACGGTAGTGATAACACGGTAGTAGTAACACGGTAGTAGTAACTTGATAGTAATGACACGGTAGTAGTAACACGGTAGTAATAACACGGTAGTAGGAACACGGTAGTAGTAACACGGTAGTAGTAACACGGTAGTAGTAACACGGTAGTAATAACGCGGTAGTAGTAACACGGTAGTGATAACACGTTAGTGATAACACGGTAGTAGTAACACGGTAGACATAACACGGTAGTAGTAACACGGTAGTAGTAACACGGTAGTAGTAACACGGTAGTAATAACACGGTAGTAGTAACACGGTAGTAGTAACACGGTAGTAATAACGCGGTAGTAGTAACACGGTAGTAATAACACGGTAGTAGTAACACGGTAGTAATAACACGGTAGTAGTAACACGGTAGTAGTAACACGATAGTAATGACACGGTAGTAGTAACACGGTAGTAATAACACGGTAGTAGTAACACGGTAGTAGTAACACGGTAGTAGTAACACGGTAGTAGTGACACGGTAGTAGTGATAATAACACGGTAGTAATAACACGGTAGTAGTAACACGGTAGTAGTAACACGGTAGTAGTAACACGGTAGTAGTAGTAACACGGTAGTAGTGACACGGTAGTAGTGGTAGTAATAACACGGTAGTAAACACGGTAGTACACGGTAGTAGTAACACGGTAGTAGTGACACGGTAGTAGTGATAATATCACGGTAGTAATAACACGGTAGTAGTAACACGGTAGTAGTAACACGGTAGTAGTAACACGCGCTCACCAGGAAGGTCATTTGTCCTGGGATCCCTCTCAGTTCCTGGCATTGCAAGTTTGGTACAATGTTTGCCCAACATGGAAGTAGTAACACGGTAGTAGTAGTAACACGGTAGTAGTGACGGTACACGGTAGTAATAACACGGTAGTAACACGGTAGTAGTAACACGGTAGTACACGGTAGTAGTAACACGGTAGTAGTGACACGGTAGTAGTGATAATAACACGGTAGTAATAACACGGTAGTAGTAACACGGTAGTAGTAACACGGTAGTAGTGACACGGTAGTAGTGATAATAACACGGTAGTAATAACACGGTAGTAGTAACACGGTAGTAGTAACACGGTAGTAGTAACACGCGCTCACCAGGAAGGTCATTTGTCCTGGGATCCCTCTCAGTTCCTGGCATTGCAAGTTTGGTACAATGTTTGCCCAACATGGAGTGGGTCAGGTCAGGGAGTACACACTGGCACTCTGTGAAGGTGTTGGAGTGGGTCAGCCTGGGTGGCTTTGATTCGAGACGTGCTCGGACCCCCAAAATAGGTGGACGTCCTCGAAGGTTTCCCCTTCAAAACAAAAAGGGGCACCCTGAAAAACAGATCACCGCAAAAAGAGGATACTTGGGCAACTTATCTCTTGACGCGCAGGTGCTCGAAGAGTTTTTAGACACCGGGCACATTAGAAAGACTGCCAGGGCCTCAAGTGACACGGGCATCCCTCCCAAAGCAGCCAATCCTCCTAGTTTTGGTCCAATGAGACGAGCTACGAAATCAAATCCCCCACGGCGATCCTTGAGGCATACTTCCAATGTGGGCGGAGTTGGAACGGTTTGAGTCCCGCGTATGCGTAATGTCTACTCAGTTCGGGCTGCATTCCTTTGAGCCCAAAGTGAGGTGCCACTTGGGAGGTCTGCACAAGCCGCGTCCGTCGCTGAGGTCCCTCAGAACCAAGATCCGGCCAAGCCTCGGAATGTCTTCAGCAAGGCCAACTATGCAGAACTGTACACGCGCACAGCTCAGGGCAGGCCATATTCAATACAGGAAAGATTAGCAGAACCAGTCAGGCTGACACTGTGTTGCACCTTTGGATGAGTCGACCCCTGAACTGCTCAACAAGAGAAGGGACTTTGAGATGGATACGCAAGGCCAATCCAAGCTTTGCCAGCTCTTGCACTGGGCTTGCCCAAGGACCGTCTACAACATGTGCACACAGCGGACGCCCAACAATTGGTGACTCTGGCCAGTTTTGTGCTTTTGTGGAGCATAAACATTGTGTTGTGCCCATCGCTCGCTTTGCTGCAGGGCTTTGTTTTGGTCTTGATCGCTCAGTATGGAGCGCAGGTGGCAAAAGCAACAACTGGCTAGATCGATATATTATTCTTTCAAAGTTTTGGATGGGCCTTGTCAATCAACAGCGTCTGGCTGACTGCATGTAGACCAGACATTTCATTTCACTTGCTCAAGCCAAAGAATGTCCCTAAGATGACTGTCTGTTGTCCTCTATGTGATTCCTGACACATTGTGTGTGTCACCGTGAAGCACATGCGCAGCTCGGGCGGTGCGTCGCTGTGGAAGGCTATCCATCTTGTGCTCACAAGTCCTGGCTTAGCTCGCTTTCCGGCTCTGCCTTTCGACACTGGGATGCCGGAATCCCGACTCCCAGATGCATCGCCTCGGGCCACCTCTCGCTCCCGTTCTCGCCAGGTCGGAACAGCTGTACCGGCGCTACGGCGAGGCCATGTCGGACTATGTCCAGCGTCAGGCCAAGTGGCAGCTGAAAGCTGTTTTTCTGTCATGCATTGTGGTTCGATCTTTTCGATGGAGTCGAAGACATCATGCCGTTTGAGTAGCAATATTTTTGGTAGTCTACTATTAGTTTGGCGAGGGCATGAGGACCACCACCTCCCCCCCCAAAACAAAACAGAGGAAAGAAAGAACAATCATAACACAAAAACAACACAAACACATCTCGCAAAGACCAAGTGGCCACCCCCGATATTTTCATTCGATATTCGCACTTCCGGGCTCATGTGAGC